CCTCTTGCGGGATGGCCGCACCGAACCCCTCAGTTCACTGAGGGCCTGGCACGAGAGGGAGATCTGCTGAACGAGGTACTCCAGGTGGGTACCCGGGACCTCGTTCATCAGGCTCCCCTCGACTTCCGCCGTTCTAGCGAGAGCCACAACGTGATTGAGGCCGACGTCGAACGTGGCCTCATCATCACTGTCACCCTCCTCGTCCAATGGCGCTCTCCTCTTCCCAGGATGCCGTAATGGGGGAGTACTCTCCGGTAACGGACTCAGGGCTGGCGAGACCTCTCTATGGTGAGTGGATGAACCTTCCCCCAGGGAGGGTTCTGCACTACCACGGCGGTCGCCCGTCCGCATCACCTCGTCGTCATCTTCCACGGCCATAGCAACCGGAGACGACGACACTTCCTGCTTCGCCGAATCTGTGTACGCCATGTACTCTACTGCCTGATGAAGTCCACGCCCCATGCACTTCATTATCCCACTGTCACTGTATCGGGATACTAGCTCCGATGCAACTAGGCGGGCAACGCCCATGAGCCGTACAGCCGCGTCTTCTCCTCGGCGGCTGGCTATGCATTTATCGATGAGCTCCGCCCTCTGCTCGGGCTCATCGATACCTTCTAGAGGGTCATACTCCTTGACCCTTTCTGGAGCGAATGGACGACCATTGTCCAGATCATTCTTCATTAGCCTCAGCACCGTAGACACTGAACTCCGGAAGGCTTCAGCCGTCCGGAATTGGCCACACGGGAACGAGTCCAACGACAATTCTCCAGTCTCCACGCAGTGGAGCCAGCCATTCCATTTGGTAAATTCCGATTGGGTCAGCGGCATGTCGTCACGAAAACGATCACGCACGCCTTCCCAGTCGTCCACCATCTCCTCGATGGTAGCTAAGCCACCAGCAGTTACCTCAGTGACCCGAAGGTCACTGGAGGGTGCCTGCTTGGCACACCCTCCGACAGTTACTTGGGCGCGAACGCCCCCTGGACCCTGCCTCACCAGTCCCACGGTTCTGGTACAGTCGCTGGATGACGACCGGGTTAGGCCTGTAGCGACACCTTTCCCAGCCGGCCCTGGAGACTCCGATTCTCCTGGCGCGGTAACCGTTATATTTGAATGGTTTCCTTCCATGATTGGTTTTACGGGTGTCCTTCCCTGCGTTTTACCTACCGCCAGGGGATTTGTTTTCGGTGTTACCTTCACCTAGGTGGTCGCCTTACCAGGCTATCGGGCCCACCTGCCCGTTTTCCTCGAACGCTACCGCTTATTCGTCCACTCTAGGAGTGGCTTATATCACGGCTACCCTGCATATCTGCAGGGTTAACAAGCGAACGAGGGGCTCGCTGTCCGCGACCGCTTATTCGTCAGTCCAAATTAATGGACTGCTTATTTCGCGGCTAGCCTGCATATCTGCAGGCCGTTCCTCTATCCGCAACCTGAGGACGCGCCCGATTCCCCGAGCTAGGGAACTGCGCCCGCTGCAGCAGCTCGTAGCCCCGTAGAGCCCGATTCCACCGCAGTGAGAGCACAGCAAACGGG